TGATCACGAGAATCAATATTTGGCTTGCTTCGTAGGAGATGTTGAAGCAGGTTTGTACAGTTCCCCATGGCAGCGTAATGAAGGAGAAATCTCTTGTAACAATCCCGTTGTTTGAAACGTCCTCGTTCCTGAATCGATGAATGAGCTTTTTCGACAAAGGCCACAAGCTTTGCATTGAGGGAAATCATCTTGATGCTTTTCAGGCGGTCAAACTCGGGGCCAATGTCTGAACAGCCAGGGGTGGGTTTCATTCTCATGGAGCCAGCCGCGCTTGGAGAATAAACGCTCGAGAGCATGTAAAGGAGAACTCAAATGGTCCTGGCCAAGAAGTCTCAGGTAGTCTCGAACACAAAGCCTGCTCGACTGCTGAGCGATTCGAAATTATCATATAGGGCAAAGGCGTCGGGGTCGAGAGATTTATAGCCCTCTAGGCTTGTGTGGTCATTTGAAGATCTTGTTGGCTGCAGAAAATGAAGGGCCCGGGGTGCCTAAACTATACGAGGCCCGTTGAAAGCCACGCCTTCGTTTTTGACACCATTCTTTATGATTTGCTGTGGCTCCTAGGAGTTGTGAGATTTTGAACCCTAAACAAGACACAGAGCAAAGAATAATGTCGCAAGTCCAATTTTAATGTGCTCAAGGCCCAGGACTGCATATCTTGCTAGAAAACCTATCGTTCCTGAATTTGCCACCTGGCTAAATCACCTACATAAATTATCTCAGATCAAGAAATAAGAATGTGGGTCTGAAATCTGCCGGTGTTCAGCATGGTGCACAAACAGGGATTCGAAATGGTCGGACTACATCTAGGCCAAATGTGCCTACAAGGCGCTATATAGCCAGATTCGTGGTCCCCTCCAGGGTCGCAGGTGCTATATCAAATTACTATCCTGCTAATGTGAACGAGTAGGATTAATGCATCTAATGAAATATATTGTTCTTCGCCGTACTCTTTGCTTCGCTACGTATAAGACCTGCAGGGATTTAATCTCGGTGGTGCCAGACAGGCACCCATCCATTACTGTCTTAAGAAACTTCTTGCTTCTAGGGCTAGTTGGGTCTGATATCGTGTTTCACTTGGCATTTATATCATTCAGGGCTAGAATCATGCAGAAGGTGAAATTTGTGTCGGGCTTGTGCTCTCTATGCCCGGCCATATAGATAGCAAATATGTATTCATAGATTTACCCGCTATGCAGCATCAAAAATGATCATCTCATTAAGCTTATTCAAATTTCACAGGTCATCTACAAAGGAAAGGTAATAAATGCTCCGTCCTTCCATTGTACTCAACGGTTTGGATACCACGATGTTCTCCACCGAAGCTCATATTCATGTCCCCCAATCTCGCCGCACAATCTCACACACAATCTTTCCTCAACAGATTAAGAAGCGCCCGAGAATGGTATACGGCCGGCCTGATCTGCTTCATGTCATCCCAATGCTTGGCCCTTTTGTCCATTTGATCGATGGCCTCTGCAGTTTTCTGTTGCTGTGAAGATGCCCTTCTCCTGTGGTGCAGATCCCTAGAACGCCGATCTGGTTAGAATATTTATACTTTGAATACCGGGTAGGTGAACTGAGACATATATCATAGCTGCATCATACACGCATTGGCGGGTCAAGTTGCAGGCGTCAAATTGATCGCATACAGACGATATTGCCATCGGAGTAGGTTTGATCTCGTAGCATTCCATGATGCAGCAGTATAAAAGTGAAAAGACAGCAATAATAGCCTCATTCTTTAGAGAGCCCCACTGTGCAGAAGTGAGGTCTTTGCAGTCCAGAGGAAGGGTGTCCAGGCGTTCTGCAACTCCAAAAATTTAGTATGTTCAGATACTTTGTCCTGAACCATGTCTAGGCATCTTTAGGCTCTTCTAAGAACCTGACACAGAGATAGTGTAGTAGCAGCATCGGTGTTGTCCCCATTATTGGAGCTCAGAGTGTCTTGGGAATGACTGACTGGTCTCGGCTCGGTAGACGTATGATGTTACCTTGGTTGACTCCCACCTGGACGTAATGGTTATTTGAAATAAAATCGAACGACAGTGTCAAAAGAGAGTGCAGGCAGTCGGACTTTGATTTGAAATGGTAGACCGCTCAGTGGGAGAATGGGTCGGTTAATATCACGAATAGAAAATATAAAAAGGGTCAGACGGGAAACTGTATTCATGTTTTTCTACCCCCACGACCTCGCTTCCGGTTCAAATGTTCTTCCATAAGGTGGAATGATATGACTATATGCAGTGACCAATCCAATTTCAGAATACCTAATACAACTTTCGAAAAAAATGGCAGCAGCTCCTGGGACCTCACAGGGCGGTTCTAGGAGATGCCCTATTACCAAGAGATCGAACACGTTCTCCGAGACCGTAGGAATAGCGCTTTGGCCTGAAACATTCTTACCGAGAGAATGCCTATAAGGATTACCAATTACCACTGAGGCAACAAAGCATGGGAGAGGCACCTAGCACGGCTCACTATCAGCTGGGCCATTCTTTGTTAAGGCAACATTTATATGAAAAGACCATAGCACATATAAATACACGGTGCCCGGGAATTGACCTGCCTCATCATTCCGCTGTTCCTTAACGATACCTTCCTCGCCTTCCTGCATTCGGAAAAATCCTTTCTTGCGGACACAATGCCTTTGAATACTTCCGCAGCCACAATTCGGATGCGTCTTGCCTTATTTTTCCTTTCCATCACCTGGCTGGCTCTTGCCGGTCTCAGTTCGGCCACTGTACGCTTTGCGGTCATCTTACGCGACCGCGCAAAATCTGACCTCGCCACCTCAAGCAACTCTATGTTGGACATCGCATTGCAGAACCTCATGGACAACATCGTCGTGGGCATGGTGATCGTGGCCCTCATCTCCGCTCTGTTTTGCATCTTCGGGATCGCTCTGGCGATCCACCCAAGATGCCTGCGAGAAGACCGCAAGTATCGACTTTACTACGTCTGCACTCAACTCGTCGTCGGCTTGGTCGTTCTGTCCTTGGGGGGTTATGTTGCCAGCCACGTTCACGGTTTTCAGACATCATTTGAGTTATTTGCCAGCGAGGGCCATTTTCCATACTACAAGATTATGTACTATGGAGCCGTTGGCCAGGCGGCTTTCGGGGTTTTAGCGGTCATTATGTCTCTCGTGCCTTTTACCATATGCGCCTTACGCGGACACTAGCAGAGGGCGCACACGGACCTATAAAACAGGCACAGAGGATTCTATCGACCTCCTCAAGTAGGGGTGAGGAACGAGTCAACCGGATTTACGAAAAAGGCAGTCGCAGGATTTGATGATGATTTCGAAAAATGAGGGAGGTGGAGTCCAAAAGCATTAGACAAGTTCGATGAAAACGGTAAAGGAATAAATCTACTCTACTGCGAAGTTGCTGAGATAATTTACCAATTAAATTTCTTGATTGAAACCAAAGCATGTTCATCGCTTGATCTGACTAGCTAACTAATCGTGGCCAATATTGGAGCAGTATGCTGGGTGGCTTGGTGTAGCAAGCAGGTGATGGTTGACGATCTGCTCTGCGTAAATAGCCATCAACCCTGGTGGCCGTCGTGATTTCAAAAGCCGACCAGAGAATAATGTGAGCTGCCCAGGGATCACATAGACCCAGGAAATCGTACGTAACTTGTAGACTCACCATTCCCACCCTCACAAAATCAGTCACGCCCCTGTTGACAGCTCTATTGGCCCTGGGAATGCAAATATTGGCCCTGGGAGCTCTCTTGCTCCCGGGGGCTTGAGTGCGGTTTCTGGGGGCATATGCGCCGCTCCTAGAAGCCATATAGCCTCCAGGAAGCCTAACGGAGCTTCTGAGGTTTAATGCCCTCCCCTCGGGGAACCAAAGTCATATTCCTGTTGACAGATTGACCAACTCCTGGAACCTCAAGTGCGGTTCCTAGGGCTATAGCTTTACCTTTTCGGGAGTAGCGAATTACGCAGGTTTGTGCGCAGGTCCGGTGAAGGTGTCTTATGAGGGCTTTCCGCGACCTCAGAGGGCAGAATATTGACTCTAGGATCCAGAAGTAGGGTCCCAGGAGCACGACAGCTCCCAGATCCAGCCAATGTGTTCCCAAAACCAGTTCGTATTCAGTCAGGATCGTATAGTGAAGATCGCAGGGGTAGAACTCGGTTTCCTGTAAGCAGGAAATGGCTAAAGAGGAGTTCCCAGGGGATAAACATTTCCTAGAACTGCTTTTGGCGTTTTTAGGATATATGTGTTAGTTCCCAGAGTCATGTTAATCTGACTGTCGACTAATATAGATGGCCTGGTTTTGCTACGTCGTGAGGCGGTACGGATGGAATTGTCGACACTCCCTTGCCGACCCGCGAGCTGTGTTTTTCTGCCTAAAATGTCCGCTTCGCGCTTCACAAGGCTCAGCTGAACTCGCTGTCGGCATTACTTTAGCCGCTGCCGTTAGGTATGATGTACAACAACTTGTATCTACTGGCTCTCGGTTCGAGTTGAGATAGTTATACTTATCTCAGATTAGTAAAACTTCCAGTGGCATTTTTAGATTAATCAACATCTAGCACTTGCGAATATGAATCAGTGGCGAAGTTGTCTGTGGGGCTAACGATCAGGATCCCATTCATTTGGTTGCAGTTTGCTCCAAACTCCATATGTCTGTTGCTGGTCCGAATTCCAGCGTCTGGTCATGTGTGGCCACGTGTGATTCACAGATTTCTCATTTCCGTCGCGCGATTACTGCAAATCGCAATCACCCACGCTGAGTGGAATTCGGTCGTGCCGACCGGCAAAGCGGTGCAGAGGTAGACGGGTCTCGCGGTAGATGAGTCCCTGCCACTATGGCTGAGCGACGGGGCCCACTCTGCTCGACTGACACCCGTGGGGATCCCATTGATCGCTGAGGCAGCTGACTTTGACGAGGTTCGTTTGGTGCTGAATTCCTGGCGGCGACAGGCTCTCTATCGGCTGATGATTCGCTTGCCAAGGGGTCTCGGACTGGACGAATCAAGGCGTCTAGACTTCCTTCGTTTCGACTGCATTTATCAGCATCCCGACGTGGCAGAACTGAGATCATTCATACTTACCACACACAGCACGACGTGCTAAAGCCTGTACGTCGCTTTTCCATTCACGGTTTTGTTGGCCAGTCCAGGTGACTGGCACCAAATAGCCTTCCTCTGGCAAATCTCCAAAGTTAGCGCTGGCGATTGATGTGATTGTCCCCCGGCAGGTATATTGTGCATAGTGGACTCCATCCTCCGTCGTGCGTAGTAACACCACTGCACATGTTACCTTGGAACCATGCTGAAAAACTTTGGACTCGCGCAGAATAATCCCGTATGTCGCATTTGGCTCGAAAGTAAGGGGGCCGTTGGTCTCGAGCAGACAGGCAGTAGGCAGGCTGCTTGATTCTTCAAGGCTGTGCTCTTCAAGCCACCGCTCCCAGGCCAGTTGCCCTTGGTCGAGGTTAAACAGGCCGAGGTCGAACATTATACGGGATGGGATCAACCACGACGAAAATAGTGTGATCTGGAGTCCTCGGGGTGTAATGTTTCCGGCTCCACTTGAGAGATAGCCGAGGTCTTCGTCGTATTGACAGACTCTCATCGCCCAGCGCATTCCATCTTCTTCGAACCGTGGCCCGGGCTGGAATAGCACGTCTTGGGGGAAACCGTCAAGCTGGCTGTAGAACCTCCGCATTCGTTCATCGGAACCTTTGACTGCGAGAATCTCCTTCAAGTCGAGATTGAGGATGCCTGCTAGTATGATTGGACGATCGCCTGTCTTGCTGGTGGCTCGAGTGGCTACGTGAAACCAATTCGATGCAATTAGTCGATCTTTGGTAAGGTCACGTTTCTCGAAGGGGCTAGCAACAAAGTCGACGAAACGCTCGAATTTGGATGCGTATTCAATAGTGTGTTGAAAATAGGAGAACCAAACACAAATGGCGAAGGTGGTAATTCTCTCCTGTGTGATGGGCAGTTTTCCTCGGTCAAGCTTGGTCAGGAGCTCGTCGGCAATAGTGGAAATATTGACTGCTTTGTCAGAGAACAGCACGTACAGCCGGCTCTTAGCAGCTAGTCCTTCTTGAAGTGTCCATAACCGGCGCATCCAGCCCGAGCAGTAGAGCACTCTCAGGAGAAGTTCCAGGCGACTTGTAGAGCTGGCGCTCACTTGCCTCATCTCTGAATCAAGAATCATCGTCCGGTAAGCTGTAATCGGTTAGGCTACCATCCAAGAACGTTCGGTCGTCTGCTAAAGATACTGGCCATCTACATATACTTCACGAATGCGCTGAATCACCATGCTCCGAACATCAGGCTGATGCGGTATGCACAAGGTATCAATCCACAATAGTACTGAATCGTCTTTGCGCAGTACTTGGTTGCCCGCGAAATGGGCAAGTCGAGCGGCGCCAGTGTGTAGGGGACCAAATGGGCCGTCCTCATAGCGAGGGACATATTCACCACCTGAGAGGACACACCTTGCCTGCTCATAAAGGAGCTTTAATTGGCAATTTGGGAGACTGTTACCCTCCACGTTGCCCAACCCATCGGACCAAACATGAGATATGGCCAAGTATTGCTTGCCAACGCGCTTCCTCGCGATCTCAACCGTGAAATTCTCGTTGCCGAGCTTATCGTCGCCGCCAGGCATGATCATCAATAAGGGAACCCCTCCATCCCGGAGGATCATATCCAATTGCTCGACATTTGCCCGGTAGTGCGAGCAGGTGCATTCTTCTTACACGTGTCGAGTGACATAGTCGCTCTCATCGACATTGTTTGCCACACACTCCCCCTTCTTGCAAGACCCGTGCATTTTTGTGTTCCAACTGGCTTTGACACGCATTAATTGAAGCAGAAACACCGGGGTTTCTACTCCACCACCGGTCATGCGACACTTCTCTACCTCCAAGGGACACCATCCCTCCGCGGTCATTCGCTTAGACTCAAACTCTCTGCTGAGAATCCATAGCTGAACACGAGGTGTCTGGGTCTGAGAACCATCTCGCTTGACAGCAAGATGCCAGAGAAGATAGCAGACCAGCCGAATGGCCAATGCCATTTCATCTCGTACATAATAAACTCCGTACTCAGAAAGTTTCTCACATACTTTCTTGATAATCTCAACAGCTCGCTCGCCAAATTTCCTCTTCTTCCATTCCTTGGCGTTGTTGACATATTTATGGATATGCCTTGTTGTTATGTACTGCTGAGCCTCTGCATACCTGCGCAGGAGAAAATCTGACTGGTCCAGCTGGCTTCCAAACACATGGTGAAGCATGCCGAAATAGAGCCAGCACTCTATTCCAGAGTGAAATCTCTCCGGGATTGCGCGTGGACTGAACTTTTCAGCTCCTGTTTCCAATTTCCAGCCATGCCGAGTTGGGAACTGGTCCCAATACCCTCCATCATATAGCGGACCGTTATACTCGATCCAAAGAGGGTTAAGGGCTTCGTCAGGAAGGAACAAATGCTCCGCCATTGGGATTGTCTGCCAAACGGGGGACTTTGAGAGTTGCACTTTTCACTCAGATGAAGCCCCGCATCAGCATAGAAACTACGTGTGCCCTGACGCACTGTCCTCGTGCTGATTGGTTACTTTCGTGCCAAGAAATGGTCTCTTCGTATTTGGCCCCTTTTGTTTGGGTATTTATGTCCGCGGGAAATGTCAGTCAAGGTACAAGGAGTATCATGGTAGTTTGATATTTTATGCCTCCTATGTTGTGGCGTTCTGAAATCTGACACCAACGGGATCCTGGGGACAAGGTAACTTTAGAATTAGAAGACGTGCGCCGTGCAGTCGATTATAATTATTCGGGGCCGAAGAAGGCAGTCATTTGGTCATGGGAAGCAAAAGCTTTAGGGCACAATACATGCAAGCAAGGACGATTCTTTTACCTTTACTTGGGTTAAAGCAGAAAAGTACCAAATCATCACACGACAATAAGAGGGGCTACCACCGGCCGCAGGATAGGAACAGGTGAAAAATGCCAGCTACTGCGGTATCATACGCCCATTCTCAGCAAGTCTGTGGCCTGCGCATCTGTTTATCAAATTCTTTTTCTCTTGCGGCCCGTAGTAGCTCTCGTCGGATGTCCGGTTCATCGCTAGACCACCATCTTTCCTCCCACGGCTGTAGGGAGCCACCTCCAGGGAAATATTCTGGGAGTAGAGCTCGACCAGCCCCCTCGAAGCCTAACTCGAGCTCCATCAGCGTATGCATGACCTTAAATTCGGCGAAAACCATGGGAATCGGGGTTGCTTCATTTCCCACGTTCAAACGCATAGCCAGTCGAAGCGGTATCCCCAACATCGCTGGCTGACGCGGAGCCCCGGCCGTGATGAGGTTTTGCAGCATGCCAGTGCCTCCCACCGCGAGTAGATACCACGCATGTTCCTGGATCCCAGTGCTGCTGAGGAGAAGCAGGATCCACAGCACCGCTAACAAGAAAGTCATCAGGCGTGTGGTATTGCTGGGGCTCATCAGTCGCATCTATCGACCCCTACGTGCCCGCCCCTCCTCATCGTCCGACAACTGCCCCCCAGCCATGTCTTCCAAATCCAATCCACCCTTCGCTCCTAGCACCACGATCACATGCTGCGTGCCATTACCTAGAGTCAACGCTACGTCTTTGCGCTTGTCCAAGTTTCGACACGCCCATTTCTCCTTCCGCCACTGTGGCAGCGCGCCAGACGCGTAAGCCAGGATGGTCCCGGCCACTGTCACCAGGAAGATGCTCCAGTCTCGGTACAGGGCAAACGGTATCGCACTGATGCCCAGCTGGACCACTGTCACGACAATTCCCAGCCAATACACCCAGTCATAAACAGGTTTCGCTACATGATGGTGTCCATCCAGTGCCCACTCGTAAACACCAACACAAAGGCGCGCCTGGTGGGGGCTCACAAATTTGCGAGAATTGAGGGATGTTTCTGTCGTTGCCGTAAGCTTCGCCCGCGTCTCTGTGTCTGCGATCCCGGCTTCCTCATCCTGATATAAGACCGGGTGATTTTGCAGTCGCTGTTCCACTTCTGCCGGCATCCAGAATTCGTAATTTTGAAACACCCGCCCTAAAGTCCAGGACCGATTGAACCGTGTATACCCCGTGCCTAGATTGATTACCCGGAGCGAAGAGTCAGGGCTCGGAGGCATCAGACGGTCCTCACTTTGGGCAGTGAGTAGCGCCGAAATAGCGTCTGATACCCATCCAAAAGAGAAAGTGACGGGAGTAATATGGCCGCCGGTGACGGCTGCCAGAGCGAGGCGAATGACATCACCGCCGATAATCAAGAGGATTGAGAATAAGTCTGATGGATTGACCCACTGTGCGCGGAAGCTGGATGCTGCTTCGTCCATACTCGGGGTATGGAGACGATCAATTCTAGAGATTGCTTCGGTCAGTATTGAAATTAGTGAGGGGAAGAACCCCTGAACCGCCCGACCGCGGCGAACACGAAGGCTCTCCACCGCGACTGTCGAGACCGAAGCGCACCACCAGACCACCGAAAATCTACGCTCGAGAACAGGAGATCGACAACGAGTAGAGGACGACGTGACCCTCGCAAAAGAAGAGAATCAATCCCGAAGCCCAGCCTGACGTGGCAACTTCGGACGACTCCGCGACCGAGAGCGACGACCTCGATGTCAGCAATTTGGTCCAAGAGATTGCCAAACTCAGGAAAGAAATTAGATTACGAGACGAGCTACACAACGAAGAACTACACAAGGCTAAAGCAGAGTTTGGTGCTGCCCTCGCCGAGGTCCGAGACGAGCTACAGAACCTGACAGATAGATCCTCGACATCGCAATACCACTCCGAAGCATGCGCTCCGAGCGGCCACGACGAAATCCTCCGCGAAATTCAATCCTTATGCGAGGAAATCAGCGCTCCCACTCTCACGGGTTCTCCGTCTTATGCAGATGTGGCCCGCACTCCCCCGCTCAGCTACCCGAGCAATATACGGAGTTTCTCGACATCGAACACAACCCCAACTACGTTCACCGACACACTCTATTGCACCATAGATACCTCGAAGATGGAGGGAAACGAAAACGCGAGGATATCCGCAGGCTCGATCCGGGCGGCAGTCGAGACAGAAATCCGAACCACGGAAGTCCATTCTCACTGGCGCTGTCGCGCCGTCACTGTGAGCCCGAAGAACACGAACCGAATCAGAATAGCGTGTCGCGACGAAGCCGAACATCAGCTGATCAAGAAAGTGGTGGAAGCCAAGATCGGTGCGGGAGCGCGGGTGCTCCGGGATGGGCTGTACCCGATCAAAATTGACAGCGTTAACAAAGCCGCGGTTCTGGATGAAAAGGATGAGATCCGGGCCGAAGCGGCAGCAGCCTTCAGCGAGGAGAACGAGGCCACCGTCGCGAAAATCGCATGGCTCAGCAAGAAGGAGAGTGGAAAATCGTATGGGTCAATGGTCGTTTACCTGACCAAAGGTAGTCACGCACGGAGACTGCTGGCCGACGGGTTCTTCCACACTGGGGGAGAGTCCGGCGTGACCAGCACCTTCGAGCATCGACCACGACCGAGGCAATGCTACAACTGCCAGGAGATTGGCCATAAGGCCTTCCAGTGCACGAATGTCCAGAGGTGTGCAAAATGCGCTATGGAAGGCCATCGTCACAGTAGCTGCGATCAGACGGTTCCGTAGTGCGTTCCATGCGGGGGCCCTCACGAATCGTTCAGCAGGAATTGTCGGAAACTCTACCCATCTCGGCATGAATAAAACCGTCCGAATCATCCAACTGAATGCGAGAAAGCAGGGAGCAGTGCATGACAGTTTAATGAACGACGAAGAGACACGGGACGCAGTGGCACTAGCGATTCAGGAACCCCAAGCGAGGAGAATTCAAGGCCGGTTCTTGACAACCCCGATGGGACATCACAAATGGAACAAGATGGTTCCCTCCGCTTGGAGGGAGGGCCGATGGGCAATCCGAAGCATGCTTTGGGACCACTTCCTCTTTCGATGCCAGAAGTGGTCCACACACCGCACGGAAATGCTGCAATGTACCCATACTCACCGAGGCAACATATCCTTTTTCTTGGGTGGAAAATCGCCTTCGATGACCAAAACTGGAAACCGAGCCTAGAAGCATTGCGGGCCTCAATACGGTTTGCCATCGCTACAGGCCGACTCGATGCCGTTTAATCATATCGACCAACACAGATGAACCCAGCCTCATTCTAACCTCAATCTAACCCCCCACCAACCACCTTGTGCCAGAGACGGTAGACGCGCTTCAACTGCCGAGGATAGGATGTTGAACACTTGAAGAAGCGCCTTCGAGCAAGTCTACTAATAAGCACTAACACACAAGGACCCGCTAAGATATTGACATCTGAGACGACATAAACTGAAGGAAATCTTGTATGGGCTCCAAGGAGGCACAGCATCAACTAAAGCATGTATATTTAGATCAGTGATAGTTGCCCTTTCGGTTCAGCCGCCGGGCGTTAATGAATTGTGTGTGTGTGTGTGTGTGTGTGTGTGTGTACGTCAACTTCCGTGCAGCTGCTACCGTATGTCGCTTCATCGGTGATGCAAAATGGAACCCTCAACAGCGACTTGAAGCGATATTGACAACAATCAACCTATGTGTCTAAGATGGACAGCAAATATATTCCCGTGTTAAAGCAACTTCTTACTGGCCAGAATGAAACAGAGTCAAGGAAACTACTCGAAGAATTCAAGGCGATAGTCGGAGTGATCATTCTTCTTGCCACTCCGCTCTCGATCAACTCCCTTAGCCACCTAATAGACAGAGAGTCTAATGATGTCAAATGTCGATTAGACCAGCTCCACTCGGTGCTCAGTGTACCAAACAATTTCGACACACCACTCAGGCTGCTCCAAAAAGAGGCTAGACTGCTGGGACTACTAATTACACATGATGGGGGAGACCCTGCCCCAAGCCTGTTTCACAAAATAGGAAGTTCACCTTCAGCTTATAGACCTCACTCCTCACGGTCTCACTTATCTCGAAATTGGCCCTGCGCACTCTTACGGGCTAAGCACTCTGGCTCATTTTATAACGAGTATTTTTATCAATTTAATAACATCAATCAATCGATACCTATATCTGGAGAAGTTTGATTTTTACTAAAGATCAATGTCAATACAGGCAAAGCTCCCGCTCACAGAGCGCATCTATGGATTGCATGGCGAGACTTTAAGCATGAAACCTCTAGGTAACCCTGCTTACATTTCATCTTTTGATATGAACAAAATTATATCACCATTGACAGCGGTAGCCTAATTCATATATACCTAGGTAGCCCGAGAGTGTCGGCGAATGTCATGAAGGCTGACTGCAACTTGAGCTGAGAGCATGTTAACTTAGTGAAAATAATTTTGGTGAACTACAAATCTGTGATCAGGATAGTAGTTCGGAGAAAAGCGATGGTAGAAATCTATGACGAAGAAACCATGAAGATCTAACCAATAAGACACCTCCGTGCTGCTCTACATAGATAGCATGGCGCGCAAACGAAATGCGCATGTCAATGAGCTTCGACAAGAAAATTGGCAACAGACATTGATACGCAAACATGACGAACTACATATCTATAATGGAGATAATAGTTCGTCAAATTTCGTACTGGGGTATTTCCATACTGGGGTACTTACAGGGGCTTAATTTTTTTATCCAAAATCAGCAAAGATGAGACCTCAAACACATGGAAATAAAAGCGCCTTCCTGGGGTCGACATCATTGAAAAGTCATCAGCTCATGGCGGCGGGCCGAGTATGCTAGCGCTTATTGTCCGCCCCACACCTTCGTACCCTCACCATCACTCACCTCCCTTCATTACTCTTCAAATGGACCATATAGAAAGTGCCCCAGGCTCTCAAAATGCCTCCATAGAGATTCCTTGCTTGAGTCACGAACCCTATGATGGGGAAGATTTCCCAAAATATCCAGAGCGCGCGGGCTGGGACATCGATCGGCTTCTCGCTGGAGACTTCTCACAACACCCCGCGGAGCCCACTGGTGCATTCTTGCAAAACTGGCTCTATTTCGGTGTTCTTTGGGAAGTATTCGGTCCCATCACTCGGGGAGCCAAGAATAATTATGTCATGCCGCAAGAAGGCACAATGTACGGAATAATCACCATCGCTGCTCTCAACGTTCAGATCATACAGCTCCTCTCGTCGATCACGTCAATGATGCAAGCCGGAGATGTCATCCCCGCGCAGATGATCGCTCATCGAATCATTACATGTCTCACGACTGTATCTCGATTTTGTCGTCTCGCGACATGCGCGGGTGACCCACGTCCAGGATTCAAGATTTGGCCGTTGTCTCCCGAAATTGACCTATCTATCAGGGCGCTGGGCCATCGCCTAGCTTGGAATTTTCCGGTCGGGGCGCTCGACATGGCTATGAGTTCTTCGACTGGCGGATTGCAATTTCCTTGTGCGTGGTTTCCACAGGCACGCATGAAACAGATGGGATGGTGTCCAAGCGAGATCGCTATGGTGGAAAAGACATTTACGTCCGCGTCCGCGTACTATGCGTCTCAGATGGAAAGACCGCCGTCGGCGGTACAGAGAGACCATGGCAAGTGTACCGGTAAACTCTGTTTTGCGCGACAAATCAACGAAGCGACGTATCGGACTGCACACACAACAGCGGAGTGTGACTGTCAGCACCTAGGCCCGTCGATCGATGAAGTGGTGTCCATTATTGCATCTGGAGGCGTCCCACTGATGTCCATTACACCAATGAAGAAGGAGCCATATCTCAAAGTAGAGGTACAAAAGTACTCCGGAACAAAACGCTATGTCGCCTTGTCTCATGTCTGGTCCGACGGAATGGGAAATCCGACAGCGAATACACTACCGATGTGCCAAATGCTCCGCATTCGGGCCTTGCTCGACGAACTACTGTCCGGAATCAGCTATGCCGACCTGGTCAACAGATTAGCTTTCGGAGACCTTTTCAAAAAGAAATTCCAAGGGTCCTCCATCTCATTCTGGATGGACACGCTGTGTATCCCCGTCGCTCCAGAACACAAAGAGCTACGCTCAAAGTCAATCAAAGGGATGAAAGCTGTGTACGAACGAGCGTTCCGCGTGCTAGTCTTGGTTTCCGATATCCAGCAATGTTCCATGAAGGACTATACGCAGTCATTCATGCGAATCCAAATGTCCGCATGGATGCGCCGACTCTGGACGTTAAATGAAGGCGTCCTGGCGAATCGGCTGTGCGTCAAATACGCGGATGGCATTCTGGACGTTCAAGTTGCTTCAGAGGAGTATCAAGAAAAGGTGAAAAACTCCGGGATGGCAAACTATATGGACTCGTATGGAACACCTATGCGTGATGCCGATAGTTTCGGTTGGAAATTCCGTCTGTTGCGAAGGAATGTTCTCCGGGATCCAGATCCAAGACTAGTCCATTCTGATAGGTATTCAGATAAAGAGATTGCTTCGCCGGAGCAAAAGCGGTGTTATGCGATTATGGAGGCTTTCAGTGCGTCCTTGCATCGGACGACCACTAAAGTGGCGGACGAGATGCTCTGCTTTGCCAGTCTAATTGGATGGGATACGTCTTTGTTGAAGGGTATCCCGTTCGAAGACCACTTGCATGTGTTTCTGTCGACGGAATCTCAACTCCCGCAGGGAATGCTGTTTCTCGCTGGGCCGAGGATGCGGCAGCCAGGTTGGCGATGGGCTGTTAATCGGTTCGGGGATAATGGTGCCATACGGCTGAATGCTAAATTCGACGACATGACTCCTGGGATTGTCAGTGAGAATGGATTTATCGTGGAATTCCCGGGGCTTGTTTTGCCGGGGGGACTGTACCAGGGAGCAGACTCAAAAGTTGTTTGTGGTTGCTGATGATGAACATGGGGGTGTGACTAAATATGAGATCACGCGACACGATGAAGGTCTCAGCGGCCGGTTGGAGGAGTCTGGGTCTGGTCCTGAGAAATTTTTGCATGATCGACTCTATGTTATCTTCTGGTATGCTACAAGGGCTTTGGCCCCCAGAACGCCTATGCCGGCTGCAATCATTTCTGGTCCTTCCGATGAGAGCCTTGTGAAGGGGGAAATGGTGTATCAGTTCGAGTCTCTTGCATACGTGGAGGTTTTGGAAAAGACGGTGGAGGGGCATCTGCAGGAGACAGTAGATCCGGTGGTTCAGCTCATCCGAAAGAAATGGACACTTGGATAGCTCAACTTGATCTCAATCAGTGTCCCGGGTGCCCACCTGGGCAGGTGTTAACCTTGAACCCTGGATAGCATTCACCGCTTCAGGGCGGTTGATGGAAATGTTCCATGTGAGATTGGCCCAGGATATGCGGATAGTTCGCCAACACTTTCTAGTCAGTATAGATTGAATCGCAGGTTATTCCATGTCCTAGTTTTGTGAATACTCAATACTTAAAAACAAGATGCGTTCCGAGCGGCATTTCTACTTGATTCGCAAAGTCAACTATATTTTTTCTATGCTGACAAAATAGGGCACATCGCCTCGAAAAGACAGTCGTTTACCCTTCTCTTGTGCTATTCAAGGACCCTGCGAAATTGAGTCTAGAGGGGTGATGCCAGTCATCGAGTACGCTAACCAGCCTCTTCCGGGATGATTCCAATGCCTGTTCGAAAAAGCGCAGCCGGGATGGCTGCTTGTCGTGGCGAACCTGAAGACCACCTCTCTCTTTTCTTAGGTGCGCACCAGCTTCCTTCAAAACAAGGCTGTCCTGCTCTAGCTTCTGGCCATCGATGTGCTTGAATACGCATGACTCCCATAGGCATCGATAGAGTCCGACAAGCCGAGCTGCGGGAAAGTCGAACTTGGGATCGTCGCATTCTAGCTCTGCTAGCACCTTCAAGATCGGTCGAAAGGGCTCGGTCGCCAGGGTTTGTCTTGTATCTGCTTTCTGTTGCGAGGAAGAGAGCTGCGATGGTCAGTCAAAATATTTGAAGACGAATCGTCTCACATACCAATGGAGGGACGTGATCAGAAGTTTCCTATGATTTGTCTTTTTCGCCAAGGTTTGGCATTTCACTGGGCTGCTGATCTTCTTCATTTTCCTGGGCTGTGGAGCTATTTTTGTGCGTCCAGTTTGTCCGCAGGAGAAGTCAAGGGTGTGAACAATACCATTTCCATCAGGCCTTTGTGCCTCTTATAGACTATGTGGACGCAGGTGTTTATGGACTGGGTTTACAATCACCACAAAGGTCAATCGAAGCAGTCAAATTCTGACTGGAGATTTTACCTTTTCAGCGGACTGTTGACAGTGAAATTTATCAAAGGATAGTGATCAACAAGTCGGTCGGGTAAGATGATCGAGTTTCACAGCGTTGAGGGCCAAATATGAACGCTTATTGAGGATATATATTTCAATCAGACACCTCTTTCCCTTTCGTTGAACGCCTCAGAAATCCAACAAATGGAACATTGACATTGTAGAACTTGTAGTAATCAAAAAGAGAAGTTCAAAAAGAAAACAAAAAGACAAAGAAGTTAATGTATCTTTATGGTCGCAGGTTTGAAAATTGAGTGTTGACAACGTATGGCGAAGCTTCAACGGGTTGACGCGTCGAGCACGACCTCACTTTCTGCAGTCTAGACGGACAGACCCACAGCTCAATACAACCAACAGCACACTAAAGCGAGGCTTGGAAAAAAAGTCCATGATTTCGAGAGATGAAATTGTAGGCGCTTTTCGGTGATTCAACGTTGAATCGCTCAGAGCTGAGGAGGTATCAGAACAAGAAATATGAGCCTGTCATTGCGGACGGAATATCTCCCACAAAGCCTCAATTTAAGAGGGCCCTGAAGGATTAGGCAGTGAGCCAACATTGCTTGACCGACTCAGCTTTCTTTTTCTCAACACCACTCTAAATAGTCGCTCTCGCTGAAGATCTAAAGACATCAGAAATGTCGCTGCAAATAATTGCGGTAAAAGAAGAAATGGGTTTCAACAGGCCTCAATTACGAGAGGTGTCCACCAACTCGTCTACCAAGCAGCACTCTTACGCAAAAGGACGAGCCGAGAAGTCTAAATACGTCGTCTGCCCCCGGCAATTCGTTTTATGTTGATTCACTCTGCAAAGTGAAGCAAGCTGGCTTGTGTCTAAGTGACCTGAAAAGTTTTCCCACTTTGACCCAGAACCGAATTTCCACTGTACTGACATTTGTAGGATACATGGTGGACCAACAAGTCAGACAGTGTATGGGAAAGATATTGTTCTCCATCAAACGTGCCAACCAGCCAGCCGACCAAAGAGACAAGTCTTGGGCTGGCTGGCCCAAGTGTCTGTGCGACGAGTTTCCGTCACAGCAGACTGGGTTGACTGTACAGCCTCTATGGGTAATTCAAAGAGAAAACGCGAATATCCGCGTCGCAGGTATGTGAATCTTAGCCTGACCTGTTTGAATTCTACTGATCCTGAATATGATGCGATATCAATAGAACCGAGGACATTCGACCACAATGCACGAGCGGAAGGACCGCAACTCTTTGCCGTCTCTTCGTCCCAGTCTTGCCACCAGAACATATAAGTCATGGATTATCTCGCCGACATACAAGTTAATAAACGATAGTGAACATTGACATCGCACCAGAAGTCCCCGAGGCTACAGCACTCCCGTTAGTGGTCTGCGCAAGCCATGGCCTACACACCATTACTGGTCTCGTCGCTTCAGACCATGCAGCATACCCTAGGTGGAGTATATACCAATAAAAGGTATGAACATTCGATTGCGAGCTTCGCTGCATGGAAATCCATTCTTCCTGGTAATGTGAGTGATTTATCGCGCCCTTTGCTGCGCTATATCAGTCATTCATGCAAACTTTTGTGCTCCAAAACACGAACACTACTGATTTCCATGCTATAGTAATTAGGAGCAGCCCATCGCCAACCGTGAAAAATGCTGTGGGAGTGACCTATTTCCGCCAGATCAGTGATAAGATCAAGGTGGCGCTACGTCGCGTGCTCCATCGCGTCTTCCGCGCTCGCCCTCACCGCCTTGACATTATGAACGGCAGTGCTTGAACATCTGGCCCGTCCGCATCGCGAAACATTCATCCATGATGGACACATAATTTCTTCTCGCAGGTGGATTCATCACGCGATTTTGCCGTCTCGGGAAACAGCTCTGTGTACTCAGCGTGGCTTCCTCGAAGCGACAGCCGGGGAATGCGACGAACCAAGATACAGCATGGCATGAATGGTGACTGCGTTGCTGAAGAGAATTGTATGTGAATCTAGTTGGTAAGCTGATATGATCAATATGCTGATTGATCGTGACGTCTCAAGTGTACCATCTGCGGACTTTTTGAACAGGTAAGCTATAACAACTCGTCCAACTGAATCAATCCTTGCTAACTCGGATCGTACGACAAGAGAACACCCTCATATTCCTGTCACTCGAGTCGCATGTGAAGCGAGCGAATGTCTCGTCTGCTCGAGCTCCCCTATCCCATACGATCGCATACTGCCTGCTTCTCCCACACGGCTACTGGTGGCATCGACCATGAGTCACCGGAAGGTTCATATGGTCTACCTCGGCCCCCTTCTCCCTGTCGATTCTGTGCACCAGAACATGCGTTGATGTCCCTCCCTTGTACAATATCCAATTGCAATGAGCTTATTCCGCTGTCTGCCTCTCGGCATCGAACAACCTCGAAGGATAGCCAGCCTCCTTGTGGCTTAGGCTCCGGGCGTCGGATCGATGATCCTGGTTGTACTCGGCTCTGGCGTCTTTCCAAGCCTGAAACTGCAAAAAACACCGAGAAATGATGATATAACAATCTTGCTTCATGGCAGGTGAGCCGTATCTTGGCGGACCGCTAGACATTTTAGATACGCGTGCAAGGAAAGGCGAGGAAATAGTCCCCGCATTTCTGGCCAACTAGGTTAGCATTGTCCATCTCAGCTCCGAATCGACAGCACGAGGTCATCTTGTTCCGAGGCACAGCCAATCTGACGAGAGGGCTCTCGACCAAAGAACCACCGCCTGGTACCATCCCACTGGATCCTATTTCGCGTTGCTGAGTTGTCCGACGTATATAAGCGAGAGGAAACGAACGAATCAGACATGCACGACGCTGCATCGTGAGGGCTGTTGGAAGTGTTCTGACAGATTGATGGTAGATTTGATTCCTAAGCATGCATTTTTCCAAGCAAAGCAATAGGTGCAACCAACATCGACCCTGGATGTCACTGCGTCTGCGGGTCAGTCAAGCCGAGCGCGTGCATCATTTTATCACTGAAATCATCTTCCAACATATCGCGCGCAAGCAGCTCTTGCGAGGAAATGGCCGAGCTCTCTACATCTCCTACGTCGACTGTCCTTGAGCATCAAGTACATATTTGTCAATCCCACCGCGCCCTGGACAACATTTGGCATATCACTGTTCAAGCAGATCCTTTGTGAAGGTGGCATTGATGTTCGTAACACCAACACTGAGAGCCATCCTGCTGTGCGACCTCGTTGATTATCTCCGACAACCTATCCTGAATATTGTACCCCTGATCAGGCTCATGTGATTGATTTCGGGGGAATGAGTGAGACGCATGCCTGCTGCGATAACAAGTCAACTAAAGTGCCACTTCCGCTGATATCACCTCATGACAGTTCGTCGTAAATGTTGGCAGAGTGGTCTTTACCATATCTGGTCAAAATGGTGCTTACTAGCTCCCGATCGGCTACAACAGTGTGTTCTTGCCAGCAGAGCATACTTGGTCGCATGAACTCGGGTACTACGCCCCAGCAATGGCCGTCGCTTCGAGTGCAGTAGCGGATGCTGATAAATGGGAGATGGGCTGGCAATATAAATCGTTGTTGCTGACCCGCCGTTCAAGAAATGGTAGTCTATTCTTTGTTGAACGTTGCGGGCGTAATGGTACGTCGGTGAATGAACAGACAGACCCATTATAATTGAGTGTCTCTAATTCAGTATCAGACATTTTGGAGTCCGTCACCCTGCCATTTAAAATGCAAACACGCAGTCTCACCTGTGATGAGTAGACATTGCGCACGTGAGACGCTGTATCTTATTGGACATAATGGCAAAAGTGAGGTCTTAACGAATATCACATTCGCGAACGCAAATATTCGTAAGGCACTGCAAATTACGAATGCGAATACGAATATCCCAAAAAGTTGCGGATTTGTGGTCGTGCCGACCTCTACATGCGTGTCTAGCCATAGGCAATTTTATATGAATTCGAAGACTTGAGTTGCGGGAGACCAGACATCTCAAAACAAATACTCTAACCATGTGGCTTTATGGAGAATAGTTACTCCGCCCGACGCTAGTCCTTTCCCCTTGAATCTCAATCCTGTCGAAATCAAAATCTTGCGAACAATTTGACATAAAGGGATGGAAAATTCAGCTTTCAATTGGTTCCAGCAAGCTGACTCCATTCCAGTATGTTTGACCCATAATACTCTGAGGTGTTTGAAATTTACTTGAAGGACCGATCCAACATGATCCACCGCCCAAGGATTGAATGCTAATAGAGCGTTGGTATTTTGTCATAGATATACATGAAGCATAAAGGACGGATGGAGAAATGATCTGCGCGGGACCCACATGGAGTATATGGGTTCCCCTGAACGCGAGGAAGCTACCTTTCTTTTGCTTCCTCGCCAATTGCCAGATGGCGTGAAGGTCGAGATCAATATCACAGTTTACCAATTCTAGCGCAACGGTACCATTGAAACAACGGGCACAGACCATTCTTGTTCGATTCGTACATTTATATTCACTGTGACATTCTTGGGTATATTGGTATTCACTGACCACTCAGTTAATTCACCAGTGAACATTTTGTTGCGTCTGTTAACATAAATTTTGCAGGCATAGTCATATCCATCAATGAGTGATCCTTATTTCAACCCAAACTGTCGATTTCCGGTATGTAGAGTTCGCCTTAGCTATCAAGTTTGACGAAATGGGACTGGAACCTCTCATTTGCGATTGGCGTTGCAGATAAACGGATTTGGTCAACCAAAGAGGATAATGATTGATGACTCGGCGACTTGGGATGGAGCTGCATGGTCTTCGTTCAATGATGTCTATCGTGTTTCGCGACCGTCGGCGCCGAGTATCAGGGCTAGTTGCACGTGGAAGGAGAAGGGGCATGCCACTTTCTACTGCGGCAAGTAGATTGCGGACTGCAAAGGCGCTTCTCGGAAGCTCGACCTCATTGGTCTTGTCATAACAGTGACCGTTAATAGCGAAGAATCTTCCATCCCATTTGTACAAATGTTTGAAAATATCGCGAGCTAACAAGATGCCTTGCTCGCACAGCCCATATGGCCGTAAAGGGCACACGCATTCATGACAGTGGTTTACATGGAGTTGATATGTTTCCACCACATAGTGTTCATCTCCGTGGAGAATGCGTATGCCATGAACGCGATCGGACGTTCCGGTAAATCGAGTAAATGTCGGCATTGCGATGTGAAGTATTATTACCCAAAGGTAAATTGTAACCGATACTGGGCGCCTGATTTTATATGCCCTGGCCTATATACACACTGGGAGAGAACGAATAACGATTGTCTGTGCAATAGTCACCTGATTGGGCTAAACTGGTGCTCGGTGCGTGATTTCCCCACTTATCGATGATATAAATGCTGGTGAGCCCTATGATACTGTTCGATTCTAACCACAATGCATGCTATGCATGAAACCTGCGAGGCTTTGTTTCATCAATAACTGCGATGGTGGGTCGCCACTGGATGTCATCTTCTGGGTTCATGCCATGCAGTGGCGGCGCTTGATGCTGCAAGTCGTAGCAGGTGCTTCGAACCCGTGAGCAGATATATTTGAGACATCAAGAAAGATACTCATGATATTGGCAGCCACAATCCATCATTGACCAGCAGGTAGGCGCCAAAGCTATTCTTTGTGGATTAAAGTCAGTCTCGCAATTTTAGCCTCATGAAAGGTAGCTCTTTGGGAAAAACTTTGGTCATTGGCCATAAAAAGGAAGGAATTTACAGAAAAGATGTACACGGTTCCTTTATTCCAGCGCTAAAAGAAAACCGTACAAATTATCCTCGCCTGGTTGCTGTTGCTTTGTATAGTGGGATTATGTAACGAGGTAGGGAAAGGACTCCAAAGCAACGAGAACAATTCTTTCCAGCTAATAGACCTTGCATACCAGGATGTAATATAACGGGCTGCTGAGGCCTAACGCAAATAGCGTGGTCACCTTGGGGGTCCGAGTGGCTCTGCGAAGTCAGCTCGGTTTGGCGCGGCCCTCCAGACGTAGGTGACTACACGTACGCAAACACTGTAATCTTTTCATGACCAACAGGATAAGAGAAGCGAGGGATATCTTGAAAGAGCTAAGAAAAAAGAAACTGCTAGGAATAGTGCCATTTTCTCAAACGAGACGCACTCCTTGACTTGCATTTGCGACTTGGGCGCCAACTTGGGCGCCAAAGTTGGGCCAGTGCGGACTCGAGGGGGCCTGAGCGGGATCTGCGCTGAGAGGGATCAGCCGTTAGCGCTTGCGCCGCCAGCCTCATTGCATTAGCGTCTCCTCGGTACCATGGAACGTAGAGAATGCCCGATTTGCGAATTTTGTGGGCCGCGAGCAAAGTTCTTCTCGCTGGATAAGTGGTCCGAAGCTTCCTATTCTGGATCCCTGTATACGATCGTTTCAACCTAAGGCCCTACATCTTGGGTTTGTGATACCTTGACATCCATGGAGCTGGTTACGGCTGGAATTGTCGCAGAATCCGGTCTGGACATCAATGCAACAGACGACCATGGCAACACATCTTTGGCATCGGCAGCAAAGCACGGTAATCTTCCACTGGCAAAGCAACTTTTGGGCTATTATGGCGTGGAGGTGGATTCAAAGAACTTTTATGGAAGAACTCCTCTTGCCCAAGCAGCGGCATGGGGACATACCGGTATTGTGGATCTGCTTCTCCAAAATAAAGGGGTGGATGTGAACTCCAAAGACAATTACGGAAATACGCCACTGGCTCTCGCCGCCGAGGAAGGGCACGAAACCGTGATAAAATCCTTGCTTGAGCGGATGGAGATCCAAGCCGATTCGAGAAACGCCTTCAATGCCACACCGTTAGCATTGGCAGCTGAACGAGGACATAAAGGAGTGGTGGTCAGTCTACTTCAGCGCCACGACGTGGAGGCCGACTCCATTGATAAGGAGGGCTGTACACCTCTTTCTCGGGCCGCGGCGATGGGGTTTGAGAGCATAGTTCGCCTACTTCTCAGCCAACCAGACGTGAAAGTCAACGCGAAAGACAAAGACGGATATGCTCCTCTGGCGTGGGCGGCTCGAAGGGGTCACAGTGCGGTTGTCCAAGCGCTGGTCGAAAGGGTTGAAGTGGAAATAGAGTCGAAAGATAATGACGGGTATACAGCACTTATGTCAGCAATGGATGAAGGGCACGAAGAAGTCGTACAAGTACTGGTCGAATCAATCAAGACTCAGTTTGGATAGAGGCCTTGTTGGCCATACTGCGGTCTCAAGGGCCACATCAAGTCTGGGTTGACGGATATAGTTTGGCCTTTTTCTTCTTCGACGAGTTTTGGCGATGTCTAGATGGGGTCATGGCCAGGGCCGCATCTATCGCTAGCAAACTAATCATTGTCTGGATTTACCACTTGACCAAACCATGTATTCCATTTCAGGCAAACGAAGAGCTAGAGTATTTCGCTATATGGCGTAGTCCGGAAGCTTTAGAATAGCCTGATTGCGCTTAGTCCAGTCTGTTTTGTGCTCCCTGGGGCTCTGAAACAACCAGGATGACAAAAACTGTACTAGCCCTCTAACATAATGACATGAATGAGCTAGGAATAGGCGTCTTTTAGATCAAACATGATTCGTGTCAATATTTTGTGCTGCGACACGCTCGGTCACTGCTCGGTTGTCCGCCCTCCAATTGATGCCTTGACTGGCGCCGTCCCATCACTGCCTCCGGGGGTAAATGATAGGCTATTAGCTTAAGAACTAGATTAGTCTGATATCATGTATACGTGGGCTTGACATTTTTCGAGTCTGGGGCCTTGGAAAAAGTGAATTCCTTGGGTTTGGGGCTCGACTACGCCAAGAACAAGGCCGTCGGCACTGCGAAGCCTGGAATGTGCTTCACAATTGAGCCTATGATTAACATTGGTACACACCGTGACCGTACTTGGCCTGACGACTGGACCAGTACCACCCAGGATGGATCTTTGTCTGCTCAGTTTGAGCACACAATGCTCGTCACCGAAGATGGTGTTGAGGACTTGCTCCGATCGTATGATAGCATATGTACAACTATAGTTTTATCCGAAATGGTATTAGGAAAACTAATCATACAGTGTGGATTCGAATCACCTAGATCATCTAAAGAGGGAAAGTAAAGACTCCCATGCTTCTATGATTTACAACGCTTGGATATCACGGTTTTCGCCACCGAACTTCACATGCATATCGCTGAACCCAGCCCCACGATGTAACTAATGAGTCCCCGTCACCAAATTGAAGACCGCCTGAGAATGGTACATGGCCGGCCCGGTCTATAACTCCACAGAGCACTTCGCCACCGATTCACATTTGCAAGTGCTATATATTGATGAGCCTGGAAATTCTACTGAAAGTTTTCCTCATCTGAGATAAGTATGTCTTACCTCGGAACCGAGAACCAGTAGATAAAAGTTGTTTGTACATCATACTTAACGGCGGCGGCTAGGGTAATGCTGATAGCGAGTTCTGGACTATGCTGACAGAAAACACAGCTCGCGGGTCGGCAAGCGAGTCTCAACAATCATTGGTAATCTGACTCTGGGAGTTAACACATTAATCCTGGAAAGGCAAAAAGCGATCCTAGGAGCTGTTTAATCTTTGGGAACTCCTCTTTAGCTCCTGGGGCCATTTCCTGTTTCCAGGAATCTGAGTTCTTACCCTGGGATCTCCACTATACGATCCTGAATGAAGGCGAACTGGTTTTGGGTACACATTGGCTGGATCTGGGAGCTGTCGCGCTCCTGGGACCCTACTTCTGGATCCTAAAATCAACATTCTGCCTTCTGAGGTCGCGGAAAGCCCTCACAAGACACCTCCACCGGACCTGCGCACAAATCTGCGTAATTCGCTACTCCCGGAAAGGCTAAGCCATAGCCCCAGGAACCGCACTTGAGGTTTCGAGAATTGTTGAAACTGTCAACAGGAACGTGACTTTGGTTCCCCGAGGTGAAAGTATTAGACCCCAGAAGCTATGTTGGTCTTCCTGGGGGCTACGTGGCTCCCAGAAGCTGCACTAAAGCCCCTGGGAGCAAGAGAGCTCCTAGGGCGAAGATGTATATTCCCAGGGCTGATAGATCTGTCAACAGGGGCGTGACCGATTTTGTGAGGGTGTAACTGGAGTGTCTAGAGGTTACGTACGAGTTCCTGGGGCTATGTGATCCCTGGGCAGCTCGCATTATTTTCGGGTCGGCTTATGAAACCTTGACGGCCACCAAGGTTGGTGGATATTTGCGCAGAGCAGGTCGTCAACCATCACCAATCTGCTACATCAAGCCACTCGGCATACTGCTCACATATTGGCTACGATTGACTGGCTAGTCAAATCAATCGATGAGCATGCTTTGGTTCCAATCAGGAAACTAAATTGGTAGATTATCTTATCAACTGTATAAAGTCCATGACCCTACTCATCGCACCTCTCTAATGTTTTTGGACTCCACCTCCATCATCAAGTTCTGTGATTGTTTTAATTCATAGTCCCCGCCGACTTGTTCTTCACAGCCCTACTCTAGGAAGCAGCTCGAACCGCCTCTAACTGTTTTGTAGCTCGGTACCCGTAGTCAACCAGTATCGCGTAATCTACGTAAGGCAAGACGCAGGAGAGACATAATGACCCCTAAAACACCGAAATCGGCCTGAGCAACGGCTCCATAATGAATAACCTTGTAGTATGGAAAGTGGCTCGCACTGTCAAAAAATTCAAAGGATGTCTGAAAGCCGTGGACGTGGCTGGTCACATACCCCTAAGGAGGGAACGATGAAGCTCACAACGATTTCATTGCGAATGTAGTAGAATCGAGCGGTGCAGTCCTCTTGTGGCCACTTCGGATAGATCACAAGGACAAACCCAAAGGTGGAAAACAGGGCTGAGACCGACGCCACAACCATCACGCTCACGACAACCTTCTCCATGAGGCTTTGAAATGTGATGTTTAAAATAGAGTCACTCGAGCTGACGGGGTCAGATTTTGCGCCGTCTCGCAGAACGATCGCAAATCGTACAGTGGCCAAGCTGAGACCGGCCAGGGCCAGCCAAGTGATGGCAAGGAAAAGGATGGCAACACGCATTCGAATCACAGCCCTGGTAGTATTAAGAGGCATTTTGTGTCCGTAAAAACAGTTGAGTCGATAACAGGAAAGTGAGTTTGGTTCTGTTCAGGGCTATATGTGAGGAAGTAAGCAATGAGGCAAAAAGATGAAGAACGTGGATATCTCAGGGCGCCGTGAATTTATATGTACTATGCGCTTTTCACGATAAGAAAGTTTCAAGTAGAAGCCCTATTTCTATCTTTGAGATCCAGGGCCACGGAACCCGTGTCCGATCCTTGGTGTAAAGAAGCTCTAAGAATGACCTCGTGTATTCCTAGGATTGACCGTCCTGTGAAATGGGGCCAGTATGTTATCATCATCTCCAATATGGGTGATGAAATGTGCATATCATATTTCAAGCCAAATAGTGATCCCAGAAAAAGTTCCGATACAGGCAGATTTTGCCTTGGTATTTTTACCTTGAGGGAAATATTATTTGCTGTTGATTGACAAGTTTCCGTAGGAAGGCACATTCAATCTTCCCCTGTTTCTGTTTAGCTTTCTGTATTTGTTGCCAGCAAGCTCAGGATCTGCTTCCAACCATAAGGCAGCCATCACTGTTCGGTGAACCAACGCGGCCGATTAAGAATCAATTTTGAACCGGGAAATCGAACGAAGTCCTGCTAGTAATTAGGTAATTAACATAGCTCAAGTGGATGGTCCTATGGACGAAAACCCCACATGCTGTTTGGTGTTCAATGGTTTCTATGTTCAACGTTGATGTAAACGTTGACATCAACTTTCTGACACCATTCACTACCCGTACATTGTCAAATATCGTCATCTGAGGATACTCACCGAATATAGTAGCACGATAATACCAAGCTATTGTGGACGAGGCCAAAACGCAAACGCCCCAGTGCTCCCGGAAGCTGAATTTAGACTCCACCGGTTGTCCTTGTTACTGAGGCTTTTGTCGCGGCTGAATTATGACGCAATAACAACCCCCGAGACATCAGAATTATAGCTCTTTTCCGCATGTTTCTATTCATGACCACCTTTAATCTGGCAGCCAGGTTTCTCCTAAGTTGATATGAGGAATGCGCTTGGGCACCACGTGGATACCGCAAGTGGACTGAAACATCGTTGATTCGATCGTCGCATTGGTCTGCGTACCGTGATTGAGGCAATAAATCAACATCTGCAGTGCTCCTGGTAGCCGGCACCGGTATTGGTAACCCTCAAAAACTTGATATTGGATACAAATTTCATGGTGGACATCAAATATTCAAAAGCTTATGATTTTCCGATGGAGGGAGTTGCTATGCCTTTCTCTTGCTCTAATAGCTTGCCAGTACAGCACCACCACTAGCAAAACCAAGCAATCATCACGGATCACAAGCTGCCACAGGTAACCCGAAGGTTCAATACCCCAGATACAGAAGAACACAGTCGACTAAAATTGCAAACTTGTATCGTTATTATAGAACCCATCCTCAAGATATCCATCAGCTGAAAACTTCCACCGAGCTTTTGGCAATTTGTCAATAGGAATTGCGGCTGCACAAGCCAAGTTTTGCAGCCGTCTGTTGCTCAGCCCGCTGGATCTGTAGCTACAGAGTAGCTAATTCTGTTGGCAGCTCGAGGAATTATAGGATGTCTCCAAGCGCCATAAAGACTGAAATCAAGATCCCCTCCCACTGAACGCGAGAAGGAGAGTTGCCGGCTCCTCAACCCTCCCACGAAAGCAATGTCGACATTTGTCCTTCGCATCTCAAATTCAGGGCCACTCACAACTGCGACCGAAATGCATCGGAAAAGACCCCTAACGCTTACAGCAATTACAGTTAGTAGGAAACTATTTAGCGATACAATTAAATATCTACAAACGCTATCCGACCGCATGTTGGTCTCCGATGCCATCTCCTCCAGGGAGTGGGCCGCGATGCATCTCGCCACGCAATTGCTACAGAGCAGGTACGAAGATATCATTGCGAGGGAAGAGATGAAAACAAACGATGTGTCCGAGTTTACATTCCCACCCACACAGCCAGAAGGGAAGTGCCGAACGTGTGCTGCTGTCGATCACGAGTCGCTGTATGGCTGAGAGGCTACTCGTTCTTATTATTTTGTTGGCTATCGTTCAATAGGAGAACTGGGTTTTGAAAAGGAACGAGCAAATA